AGGAAAATCACCAACTTATAATTCATTTACTCAATTTAATCACAAAATTTTATTATCTTGTTGTCAGAATCAAAAGACACAGTCTTAGACCCCCCTGAGCAGAGTGCATAGTACTATAATTTATTCAGAGTGCCATATCTAGGAAGACAAAGCCAGAGACTGTTTCTATGTAGTATCAAAGGAATGCCACTAGATAATTTTCATAGTTTTTTAAATCACATTCCAAGAAACTAATCCCAGCTTCTGATCTTTCGATTACCTTTTTCTTGATATCTCACTTTATCAGTGTAGAACCTAATTGGTTGTAAAAAGTTGATCTTGGTGAAATGATGAGTAAGCAATATGAGAAACTACAAGAGCACAGGCTTTGAGTAAGCAGAAAATTCTCAGGTTTTCTTCTGACTTTGTCATGTACTAACTGTGACAGTGTGGTGGTGGTTGTGGTGTGTGTGTGTTGGAGGTGTGTGTGCATGTGTGTGTATGTACTAGTACATTCATACATGCATGCAATAATTGCTCAGCCTCTCCAAGACTTAGTTTCTTCATCTTTAAAATAGGAACATTAGCCGAACCGGTTTGGCTCGGTGGATGGAGCGTCGGCCTGCGGACTGAAGGGTCCCAGGTTCGATTCCGGTCAGGGGCATGTGCCTTGGTTGCGGGCGCGTCCCCGGTGGGGGGCGTGCAGGAGGCAGCTGATTTATCTCTCCCATCGATGTTTCTGACTCTCTGTCCCTCTCCCTTCTTCTCTGTGGAAGATCAATAAAATATATATTTTAAAAAAAATAGGAACATTAATACATTTTTAAGACAGGGATGCTGCTGAATGGAAAGTGTCTAACATCTAGAAAATACTCAGTAAATGCAGCTGCTATTTGCATAATCATTGAGGGTGGCGGCAGCTGATAGTATCAGTCAGGACATATTTGATTTTGGTGGCTTCTCTGATGCATAGGCTTAAAAAAATTTATCAGCTGTGTTTGACAGCTCTGATGGTCACTGCTGGTTCTTCTGCCAGATTTATCATTTGGTAATGACAAATACACAGTCAGATATTCTTTTGAAAAAAATACACTTTCTTTATTCCTATAAATCTCTCCTCTTATTGGCTCAACTATAAGCCCTAATCACTATCACTGCTGCACTTTTACAATAAGAAATTCATTATTATAGGTATACTTATAAGTTATTAAAATTTTACTGAAAGATTGAAATACATAAAGCTTATATTTTACCGCAGCATATTTTGTGCTCACTGAGGGTAAATAATAAAGTAAAAACACTCTCTTCTACTCTAATTGTCAAAACTTATATTTACTTATGAATCTCTATCCTATCTAATAATAGACAAACATGGTAATTGACCGTACCTTCACTACGCCTACCATTGGCTAATCAGCGTGATATGCAAATTAACTGCCAACAAAGATGGCGGCTAATTTGCATACTGCAAGAAGGGCAGGACAGCGTGAGCCGCCAGCGTGCCGCCATCCAGGGCAGGCCCACCCCAGAAGCCCCAACAGCCGCCTGATATGGTAGTAACTCTATCAGTAAGCACTCTGAAAGTCAGTGGCATAAATGCACCAATTAAAAGACAGATTAAGAGGGTGAATCAAAAACAAAACCCACTTTAAATATAAAGACACATATAGATTAAAAGTAAATGAATTAAGCTGCAGCCTGTTTTGCTCAGTGGATAGAGTATTAGCCCGTGGACTGAAGGGTCCCAGGTTCGATTCCAGTCAAGGGCATGTACCTCAGTTGCTGGCTTGATCCCCAGTCCCTATCAAAGCATGTGCAGGAGGCAACCAATCAATGTGTCTCTCCCTTTCCCTTCACTCTCTCTAAAATTCAATGGAAAAATATCCTTGGGTGAAGATTAACAAAAACAAAGTAAATGGATTAAGTAACATTAAAGAGATTATAAGAAAAATATATTCCAAATTTTGTTAGTTGTATAATGGTTATGTTTAAATTATTAACACCTAAGAAATTGGGTGAAGGGTACATATAATATGCTGTAGTATTTTATAGTTTTTTTTACATGTATGAGATTATTTCAAATTAAAATATTAAAAAATTAAAAATTAATAAAATATTAATTGAAATGT